ATGCCACTGCATGCAAGTGGAGAGCTGCAATTTTTGGCATATGCTCGTCACTCAGGGATCTTTTTCGTGCCAGCACCTATTACGACACAGGACCTCGCTTTATATGCTCTCATCCAAATGACCGGTCTCCACGTCCCACAGCGGGATTCGAACCCGCGACGTAAGGATCAACTCCTTCCTTTGCGACGCTAGAGCAAACGCTCTAACCACTGCGTCACTCGGGCGACACATTCACTGTTTATGTTCTTTCTTCAACTGAAATAAAATGATTGCAAATGATTAACAAACAACACATTATCCTCTATACATAACAACTGCAATGAGTAGTCATTTCAATTCCGAATTGTTCAACAAAATGTTCACAACGGAAGGTTGGTGGAGTGAATGTAGATTTACTCGTAAGTTTGTTCAAATGATGACCCCGGTGGGATAGGATGAAATATAACATTGGATCAAATATTAACGTAGGAATATAAAGTATTTAGGGGCATTAGCGTAAAATGCATAAAAAGACTTCAAATGGGGGGGGGATAAAAAAATCTTCTAAAGAATATCAAAGTCATGATTCATATACTGTAAGGAGTAATTCATGGAGATAAAACATATGATAACAAACAGTTTTTAACCTCAAAAGTCCATAAAACAAAACAAAATAAGAGCAGAGCAAACACAGACCCCCAAAACATCAGATATGGGATCAGCTGCCATATAGGAGTGAGCAAACTTGAACCTCTAAAGCATCAGAAGTAGTGTGAGCATCCGATGCCGACCGGTCACTTCCTAAACTCCTTCCTAGACTATATATGAGTGAAAAATTCTCGAGAGGAACGTTAAACAACATACAATCAATCAATAAACAGTAAATAATCTTTATTTTCTTTAAAAGTTAAAAAGAAAGTCTCCAAAGTTACACATTTCCCGAACCATGACCACTGTTGTATGCTCTTCTACGGTAAAACGCAGAGTACGGTTTATTTTGTTGATACGTAAAAATATAAAGTACACAAACTCACACAAAGAGAATATTATTTTGAAATGGTAGAGTACGGTTTTCATTTTTCTTTATATAATGATTACGCTCCATTTAACTATGAAGATATTTGTCAGTTAAGAAATTCCGATGCTATTATTTTTTTGATATTTATAATCATATACATCACAAACAGGTAGGTGGTGTAATAAGAATTGCGTGTAAAGTATCTGACAATTTCGGTATGTACCAATAATGTTACCGAATCTGTACGGAGTATAGATTGAGACGTACAGCTTTATCTCGACAATCCACTTTAATTTTATGTTACATTTCTTTATAATAATTTAAAACAATTTTTATCAAAACTTATATTATATTGCAAATTCCATTCTAGTAATTTCCTTTTGAGTAAAAATTCACAGAAAACAATCTTAATTGTTACCCAAAATTATTTATAATCACAACGTAATTATAAATAATTCCTTTAACTATGATCCTATCTTCAGGGCAATTTATAAGTAACACATCTATAAAAAGATATGGTAGGTGTAAACAAATTTATAGCAATGATCGTTCGAATATTGACCACAAATATATTTTTCACGAAAAAAACAACAAAGACATATTGTAGGAAAAGTTTATTGTCCTTTTGAGGTGCCTTTAATTGACTGAAGTGACTCACTCTAAAGTGTTGTTTGCTTATATGTATAAAAAATGCGGATTCATCTGGATTGAATATTCTGTCATAATTTTATCTACGTCGGTTTATATATCAAATTCATTTCCTATTTTTCACTCGTTGAAATAGAGACATTTCAAGATTGCTTTGAATTAAAACATTCTTTACTTTGACTATTTTACTTATATGTATTTGACATATACAAGGCAGATACATGTAACCATACTTCTTAGAAAACAAGGTTTAGCATTACTTCTCTGACAACATCTTTTAACATTCTATAATATTGAAGGGTAACCATCACTTCCATAACAAAAAATACTAAAGTTAACTGTAGTTTACTATAGTTAACTATAGTTATAACTTTGACACTTTGATTTACTATAGTGATAACTTTGACACTTTGAAAAACTTTATCGAAAACTTTGACACTTTGAAAAACTTTGGCGAAAACTTTGATACTTTGAAAAACTTTGGCGAAAACTTTGATACTTTGAAAAACTTTGGCGAAAACTTTGACATTTTGAAAAACTTTGGCGAAAACTTTGACACTTTGAAAAACTTTGGTGAAAACTTTGACACTTTGAAAAACTTTGGCGAAAACTTTGACACTTTGAAAAACTTTGGCGAAAACTTTGACATTTTGAAAAACTTTGGCGAAAACTTTGAAACTTTGATTTACTATAGTTAACTATAGTAAACTATAGTTAGCTATAGTAAACTATAGTTAACTATAGTTCTTTTTGTTAGGGTTATCCACAACTCCTCTTATACCACTGAATGAAATTTGATGAGACTTTCATCGAATATTTTTCACAAAGTGCCATTATGACTTCCCATTTTACTTTTTGATACCATACATTTTTGGGTTTCTCATAGAAAAACATAGATACTCCCATTCTTTCCATAAAATTGAAGGGTACCCTTATCTAAGCCGCAACTTCCCTATACCACTGAATAACATTTAATGATACTTTCACAGATTCTTTACTAAATAATGACACTGATCAGTTCATGAAAACATTCTTTTTTACTTTTTGACACTTAATTGGGTTCTCCCAGAGCAAAACAAGGACTTTGCCATCGTAATTATGGGAGGCGAGGGATGTTATATAGTGAGCTCAGTGCACACAGTGCCTCAAGTTCTTAAAAAGAAATATTAATCTGACATTTCTCCTGAATAATGCATCCTTAAAAAGACGAAAAACATCACAGGTGTTTGTGGTATTTTGCTTCACAGGGAGAGTTGAGTTATAAGTAATTCTTTTCCCAGATGATTTAATTATAAGCTAGCCGTTGGTATCATTCTATAGTGGGTAAAAATCCAAGTATGAAGCAGAAGTGTTAGACCTTGGGGTGCTTTTTTTTATCATGGGTTAACGAGGATATAGAATGCATTGAGTGACTTGGTGATGAAAATAATTATTGTAATAAAAAGAAAAAGTTGAAATAAAGCAAAATGAAAAAAACTATATGTACTGTGAGAGTGATCTTACCAAATAATACCACCGCCTCCCATATGATTATAATGGCAAAGTCCATGTTTTGCTCATAGAGAAACAGAATAATTCTCAGAGCAAAAAGTAAAATATGCCATTGTGCACCTCCTATTTTACGTTTTGATCCGACACATATTTTGGGTTTCTCATAGAAAAACATGACGCTCTCTTTCTTTCTATAAAATTGAAGGGTACCCTTAGCCACAACTTCCCTATACCACTGAATAAAATTTAATGATAATTTCACAGATATTTTACTACATAACGGCACTGATCAGTTCATGAACACCTCCTATTATACTTTTTGTCATTTAATTTGGGTCACCCAGAGCAAAACATGGACTTTGTCATTATAATCATGGAAAGCGGGGGGTATCATTTAGTGAGTTTAGTGCTCACAGTATCTTTGGTTCTTGAAAAGTCAGATCTTAATCTGGCATACCTCCTGAATAATGTATCATGAAAAAGACAAAATCATCACACAAGTGTTTGTGGTATATTGCTTACAGGAAGGCTTGAGTAATAAGTAATCCTTTTTCCATATCATTTTATTATTAAAAAGTCATTGTATTATTCTATAGTAGGTAAAAAATCCAACTGTGAAACAGAAGTGTTAGACCTTGGTTTTTTTTATGTGTTCACGAGGATGTAGAATGCATTGAGTGACTTGGGGATGAAAATATTTATTGTTAAATTAAAAAAGGTTAGAATGAAATAAAATGAAAAAGATCTCTTATCATGTATTCATTTTATTGCTTAAACATATGTATACTAAACGGCCAAGGTTATTCATATATTCATGTACCGCTTCTGCGTAGTTATTCTTAATTACTTGTATTGAAATATACCGATATATTTAAGATCAAAGATACTACATAATAAATAAACATTTTCATAATAAAAATCCAACATAAAATATACACTTTCAGAATAGCACAGTTTCTGAACTATAACATCGTTTCATTTTTATCAGTAATATTTATTTAATTTTATAAAACTGATTCAACAAAATAGCTTTGGGGACATGTACTTTAAATATTAATTGTAAATGTATTTTTATCTCCTACTGTTGATTAGAAAAAGAAATCTAAAAACAACCATTTTAAAAAATAAACACTGTAAGTAAAAAATTGAAAATTGTTTTAATCCTCGACGTGTTTTTTTCTGTTACATACACTATTATTTTCATACCCACGCTTGAAAACTGGGAGGATATAAACATGTAATGATCGGGATGTCCATCTCTCTCTATAATCTAAGGAGAGTAGACGTTTAGCTTACACTTCTAACACTTACATACTTGTCTCAAAAGTACAGTTTATCTAATTGCAGTTTCAAAATACAAAATACTTACAAATCAATCTTTCAAAAATTTTCCCATGTAAAAGATGTGATTGTTCAGAGATCTAGTGAAATATGGAGGTTAAAAAAAAAACTTTTTCCAAACCCATGGCCTTTGTTAGAGTATTCTATCCTGTTTAATATGTATCAAGTATACAAGCATACGTTTTACAGAGAAAAGAAATTCCGTGCATGTTTTATAGATGTAGCAATCTCAAAATAGTTAAATTCAAAATAATTGTCGATTTTTGTCTAATTGAGTATTGTGAACATGATGTAACAGCCAAATACATGTAAATGCATAATACATATCCTTCCAGCAGTTAATTTGGCACCTTCTGCATGTTATATATAATTATAATGGAATATGCAATTTACCCACAATAGAATATAAAAATGGCTTCACTGTAATTTATTTTTGATCTTAACATTTTAATGACAAATAATGAGTTCTGATTTTTAAAAAAAGAAAATAACTAAAAACACAACAAACGAGCAATCAAACAAATAAAAAAAACTACAGTTTATTAAAAGAGTACACTGTATATAATGTTATATTTCATTTATATCTAGTGTAAAAAAAATTATATAAGTTTTAAATATGTAAACAAGTCATAAAAAATACAATAGATAAAAAAATCATTACTGAGTCAACGTTCCAGAAACTTTACCTCGCAGGGTTGCAGATCTAAAAATACAAAAAAAAGCACAATTACATGTATGAATGTAAACAAGTCCCGGTATGTGAAATCAAACTTTCATGGACCAATAGCAATCTGTTTGATTTTTTAAATGAACCACTGTCTTTCAGATTTCCCTCTGTTTTATTTACATGTAGATATATATCAATTTGTGTTGCATTTGACAATTACAAGCTCGTGTTCGAGTTTTCATCTGTAGTACGATTATCTCGCAGATGACATAGAATGTTAAGAATTTCATTCTGTCTTTTCTCTATATCCTGAACAGTACGCTGTATATCGATCAGGTCAATATCATGATGATCTCTGCATTTCTTTGCTGATCTTCTCATTGAAGTGACTGCCTTCCAAAACTTCACTTTCCATACATGGTACTTTGGTTTTTCTCTTTTACATTTTGTTGCCATGTAGAAGCATTTGATGACATTAGAAGCAGCAATTCTTCTCTCATGCTTCCGCTTAACTTCCTTAGAAAATTTCAAAAGATACTTCTCGTCACGGGTCATTTCAAACTGATGTACGAAAACAGAGAAAATGAACCCAGTGATACCAATTCCCAGAAAACCGGTTGAAGCCGACACACATCTTCCGCAGAAACTCACAGGGTAGAAATCACCATAACCAATTGTTAAGAATGTAATCATGACCAACCATAGAGAGTTCAGGAATGACGTCATTTCTGAACCCGGGAAAGTGTACGACTCACAAGTCTGCATTGCATAGGAGTTTGTTATTAACACAATCAAAAGGATGGAAATCACAAATTTAAATGGGTATCGAAAAAGGAGATATTTCAATATAAATGCAGAATTCAGTCTGACACTAGTTAGTCCGGCTAGATGTTTAGCAAGAGTTCTGTTGGAGAACAGTTTGGATGAAAGCAGCTCGGAAATTAATTGTCCAAACAAATAGAAGCGAAAGATCATGAACAAAGACAGATAACCATCGAGGTAAACGAAATCCCGAGTCAGTTCTGAACTCTCTTTTGACATTGTTTGCAAAGGCTTTGGGATTTTCATACTTCCAGGAAAAGGATGAACGATGCAAACTAAAATTTCAATAATCATCTCAACACACCATCGCCATTTTCTTGGTCTGTTAAAGTATCGTTCAATTTTTCTTTGATATTTGTGCTGCAAAATTATGAAGATCAGTAAAATTGCCGTAGAGATTGATATGACAGACTTTAAAGCATTCGATGCGAATGTGCCTTTCTCCACCGTTCTGGAAATAAATAATTCTCCTTCCACAACCATGAAAACAATTCCAATTGCTCCAAAGATACATTTCAAATAAATACACAGTCTTCGTTTTCGTATGGCATTTGTCTTAAATCCAAGAATCACAGAATTTGGTATTTTATTAGGCACTTTAGCTGGAATTGACTTACACCTCAATCTGTGCCTAATTTTGACATCCTTGTCAACATTTAACCCCATAATTCTCAAATATACTGTGACTGGGACGATTTAAAAACACGTCGATTTCTTTATATAAGCATCATAAGACTTCATCCATAATCTTTGTGAGAAAACAGATCTTTCACTGGAAAAAAACCTTGGTGACCTGATGTATTTACCTTACCTTTTGTGTTATACATACAATGTATATGGGGCGACACAAAGGTTTAGGAAGTTATAAAACTTGGAAATAGTGTACAGGAATTTGCCACTTTACCGGCGTTTCCGTAAACTGGATAGTTCATATATCTTTGCATAGAAATCATTACTAGTGCTTAAATCACTTCCGCATATGAAAATGTCAAAAGTGTATATGCAGCAAAACTGTCGTGCTTGTTACATTTCATTTATCTGTATGGGGCCTCACATATTTTGGAGAACTGTCACTGCCCTCGTTACCGTTTGACCTTACTTTTATTTCTCCGTGTAATAAAACGTATTGACAGTGACCCGTTCTGATAGATATCTTACACAGGTACATTTTGTTAATCAGACTTAAAAACAAAGGAAACTTTACATGTACTGTGCTGTGACAAATAGTAGAGGTTATGATTTATCTTGTATTTAATACATATATAATAAATAATGATAATATAACATAATGATATATTTAATTTTTATGATTAAGGATGTATCTTGTATAATAGTCATCAGCACTGGTTTGTTGTTTTCTTAAAAATGCGCTGCAGAATAACTGGCAACAAATTTAACAGTTAAATGTTGTAATTTTGTTCTTATAAATAATTTTATGTTTGCAGTCTCAATAAATCTGACTTTTTAGGTCAATTAATTGCGTCATAAAATACATATTAAAATATGTGTTATTCCAATAAACTAGAATTTACTGGTAATGCTTACATTTTATAGCATACATTTAGGCACAATCTCAATATCAAGAACTATCAATGTTTATAATTCTTATCAGCTAACATTATAAGTTTTTAAATCTATAAGAAGCAATGTAAAAAAATATCTAGCATGACTAATTATAATCAGAAAAAAAGGTATTTTGTAATTTCATGTCGTGTTTCGAAAAAGGGAAAATTCTCGTAAATCAAAGCTGCCACATAAAAATATTCTGTACCTTATCTTGTTTATATAGTTACATGTTATTGAATTTGTTGGTTGACTGGCCTTAAATTAATCTATTGAAACATCAGATTTTTTCACATATAAAATGAACATTGCTTGTATGAACATTGCTTGTATGAACATTGCGCTCAACTACAAGGTGTAAAATTTATCATTAGAAAACATACAGGCCAGTAACAAATATTGGTATGGAAGGGTGAGAGGCAAAAATATTTGCCAGACAAATGGCCAATCTCTTGTTCCTATAAGTGGTTTGTTGATTTTTGAAAATGTTAAAATTTTCACGAGTTTTAAAAGAACAGGCTGATTTGGAGATTTCATTTAAAAAATCATTTTAAAACAATATAGCAAAAGAGTGGAATGCTTTCTTAGACAGTGTACTTCAGTGATTACGTACACAATTTCTAAACTCTCCGTTTTAAGTTAACATATATAACAATATGAAAGACGTGATATTATGTTTATGGTTCTTTAAAATCTTACTTTAAATCTAATTCATATCAACCACACTCTATTCTGTTTTAAGTAAACATAATAAATTATAAATACAAAAGTCAATACTGATTGTAAAATGTAACATGCATGTCACTCTACCCGAGTGAAATGCAGATCGATTACTATTCTATTTGAATTTGTAAACAGATCACTATAACAAAGTAAAGTTATATTTATAACCCCTAAAAATTAATTTAACTTTTTTAAAACAAAAAGAAATAAAGTCATGACGTAATAGCCTTTGAAAAGAAGATTTTTAAGTAATATAATATACATGTATACCATGTAATCAAGTTCAGCAGTAAAACTTTTTCATTAGAAATTTTTTAATCCCATGAATTGACACAAACACTGTAATTTAAATTTAAAATGATGGTAATAAAAAGAAAAAAAAGTGACTGAACACTTTGTAATAAAAAGAATGCTGAATAGTTTATATATATATTAGTTTGGTTTTAATCAATACAAAAATACTTACATATTTCCGTTATGAATATAAATATGAATCAGATTGTTACAAACAGGTTTCCTTATTTTTAAAATTATTCTTAAATGAACTTTGGAGATCACGAATAATAATCAAGTTCATAAGTTCACTGAAAAAAATATAAATATATCTGTAGCAGAGTAAACACTGACTTCTATATACGTATTACACACCAGGAAAGGGATCTGGTGTCAGTTAGGAGTAAGCATCCCCTCTCAACCGGTCACACCCTTGTTTTCAGTGTGAAAATAATTGTCTGATGTTAGTGTATGAAAAATATCATTCAGCATTATATTTAATGGACGATTGTATTTTATGAAAGGTAATACTATTTTCCATGCATATGCAAATTAATGCGTGGCACAGTATTCCCCAAACTGTTGCCAAGTAGGAGTTAAAACTACTATGTGATGCGTTGACCGGTACTTCAGTTGAAAACGGATAAACATAGGACACAGGTCAAGTTTCACAGTAGGTAGGCCTAAAATGATTCCTTCAAAACTTATATCGTAAGTGCCGAATGCAAGCCTGAAATTGCAGGCCCCTTTTGCCAAGTGTAGGCGTCTCAATGTGATAGTTTTTATGTACATTTAGTCGTTTAATAGTTTTTCATAATGTTTTGCAAAATTTAATCTGATTTTTTTAAGCATACTTTTTTAGCGTATCGGATAGAGTTGATTTCTATGTTCGATTCAATTTCATTGATTCAAACTTAATATTATCAATTTGTTTTAATTTACCTTGTGTACATGTATAAATACCGTACAAAAAATGAGCAAAATTGAACAGTGCATCTTGTGATTTGTTACTTCATATTTATCTAATTGTTACTTTACTTTAAAAGATATGAAAATTAAATTTTATTTTAATTGAATATGGGATGCATTTCATTTGTGAAACAGAATTTAAAAAAAATATATGTTTATGCGTCATTCATCCTCGTAAAATATAACAGAAAGTCCCTGTTTCATTCGAGAAATAAATGTCCAATTTCAAACCTTTGAAATCCTCTATACTAGTGCATACATTTTTCAAACTAAAAAATGTTTTTGATGAGATCTTACAATATTCATGCATGATAACAGTTTTAAAAAGATGTGATCTATTTTGAAATATTTATTTCATTCGATGAAAAAATAACTGAGTATAGAAAGATGCACATTAGTTCACAAAAATGTTTTATTGTATCTTTACTCTTTTTAGAATCGAAAATTGAACAGTAACGTTTGAAGTTGTTACAGGACCTTAAAATAGGGAGTTTCAAATTAATTTTACAACAGACCTACAATAGTTGCATTTGGGGGTCTACTCCCTTGAAACTCCTATTCCATGCATTATTTTAATTAATTTTGATAATTAAAACTTAAGGTCTATTGCTCATGATAGTTGAAGACGAACGCTTTCAAATATGTTTCCAAGTAAGGTAAGAACGGTAACTTCGATTGATAGCTTGAGTATAATATTCAAGCACACCCACTTTCTACATGCTTGACCCACTACATCTACTTTCCACACATTTGAATTTTATAAATTATAATATAAAGTCATTTTATCAAAGCAATTTTCAAGAAATTGTATACTGAATTTTGATATGACACATAATGAAAATCGAAATCGATATTAGTTTCTAGTACACATATCGTAAAGGAATCGTTTAAAAGCGACAAGGTATCAAATTCTTTGTGTCAACATGGTGTAAATGAACACAAAATCACAATTAAATTAAGCACAAATAAAAACACAAACACTCTTTTAATACACAAATTGAGTGCCAGGTCTTTTAGCACCATGGAACCAATGTCGCTTAAACCTTAACTTGAATTGGTGACAATTTTCATTACCAATAATTATCAACACTCTCGGGGGATATTTTTCCCTACTCTATTTGCAATGAATTGATCGCCGCTTGCAGTATATAGAAATTCTATTCTTCTTTTTTAAAAATTCGTCAATTTCAATCAATACTTTCTTTTTTAAATGACCGTGTATTTGCGTATTTTGAATGCTTTTAATCACTTTAAACATAATTACACAAATGTTGACCCAGCATTGTTCCTTGAAGGCGAAATCCATCAAGATATTCCAAAACATTTAAATGCATCCTTTGTGATATTTTGAATCATTTTTAGAAAAAAGAAAACTGAACAAACGAGACGCAATTGTAATCATTACGAACTGTTGGTACAGAGGGGCTATGTAAAGGTTTGATTGTATCACAAAACCATTGTACAGAAACAATTACCGGAAACGTCTCTGAAGAAGATTCCGGTTCTCACACTTTCATGTAAGTAATGCTTTATATAATATCATTATTTACACACGTTTTCTTCAACCTTCACAAGAAAATTAAAAGACTTGTATGAACATCTGTCAAAATGCATATTATTTGTAATGAACTTATTATTATTATCCAGACTTCCCTTCAGATCTATTTGTATATATTTGTATTCATATAAATGTATCAGAAGTCCAAATTTAGGTATTTTATATATTAAATTGTGTGATTTTGTTGTGGTTTTTACTTGAATGGTATACACAATTTTATTGCGATTCAGTTAAGTTTATTACTACTGACGACATTCAAAATCTGAAGAAAAAAAATCCTTTAAAAATGTTTAAACAATTCTATATTCTGCGTTAAAAAAGATTGATAAAAATTACTTGTAGTTGTTTAATCTTAAAATTGCCCTAAATATATGCTATTCAGGACCAACCGAATATTTACCCAGTATACCATTGCCGTCAGCATACATTAAATTTGATCATATATGCGTGAATCAAACGTATTTTATTATATTTTAAGAAGAAAATTGTGTCATGTATGTCCATCTTTTTCACAGAATGAAGAAAGCAGGTCCTTTGGTATTACAGTCCAATGGAATGAGCAGTATTGCTGCGTCATTTACATCAACACAAAATGGATTAGAAAAGTGGAAACTTGAACGTGAACTTCAACAAATTGAGTGCGAGGAATCATTCACTCGAACAAATAAAGGCAAGGAAATTCATGAGCTTAAAGATCTGGCTTTAAAGTACATAGCAACTGGTTGCGTTTTTAAACAACATAGATTTGAGAAATATGACCCTTTTCGGAAAGAAGAAAAAGAACGCAAGGTCAGAAGACAACTTCAGACCCAAAAATATAAACACAAAAGTGTATCAGGAAAGCAACCGAATGAAAAAAGACTTATCTTAGCTCCAAAATTGCATAGAAGCAAAACGATGATAGAGGAAATTGGATATAAAGAAAAGTCACATTCTCGCGGAAGGATACATGCAAGTTTACCAGATATTTCAAAACCATTGGAAATGATTGAATTACACAACGATGTTAGAGAAAGTGATTGCAACGTTAATATTTTTGATCAACTGCGAAGTAAAAGTGTCTCTGATTGTGATTGTGATAGTGAATTTACACAGAAAAATATGTCTGCGTGCTTATTACCGACCATTAAGCGTGTTGCATTATGGGAACAATCAAACAAAGATAATAAGGAGGAAGAAAAAAAGGAAAGGATTCGACACAAGAAATATCAACCAAACTTAAAAGAAGAGTTCAAAATGATGTTTCCAGGAAACTGCAAAACAACATATTCAATGAGAAAATTTATAGATAAGGAAACTAAGAATGTAATTCGTGATATAGACACGATTCCTAGGAAACGAAACACCAGGGAGCACGAACACTTAATCAAAAAGTCTCAGCTGCCGGAATTCATTAATAGAAACAAAACAACGTCTGCCATTTTAAGAGACTTCCGGTCCATTAAAAAGTCTTTGAATAATGACGATAAAATTGACAAGAAACTAGAAAAAGAAGATAGATACAGTCGTGTGCTACGCTTTCTCGAGCATGCGGACTCGTTTGAGGACTGAAGGTGTTTGTTCTTATATATTTCATAACTAATTCTCCAAATTCATGACCGTGATCGTCGTTTATTGAACAGATGGATTTTTTGATGAGAAGGGGCATAAAAATGAATATTGTTTCTAATGTCATTAAACGAACAACGAAGTTAAAACACATTCAGTGAAAGTTTACTTTGTATTCAATGATGTGGGATTTTTGTCATTGAATTAATTATAGTGTTGTTTCATTTCAATTCATTTTATTGGGGTAAAAAATAGTACACTCATCATAGTGTCATTATCACACATATATAAATAAAACACAACAGTTTGTCTATTCATAGGAAAAAAAACAAACATTATCTCAGCTCTGTGGTACTTGATAAAGATCCATTTCTAGTATTTATTATCAAATAAGTAATAGAACTTCAAGATGTTCTCTTAAAGGTACTTGGACACAGATTTGAAGTTAATATTTTCTCTATAATATTACGAACTTATATATTTTGATAGCATTTCACACAAAAATTAATTAAAAATCTTATTTCATTTAAAAGTTATTAAAACTTTAAATTTTTTGGCGGGTTTGATTGACACATCCTTGCACTTTCACAAATTTTAACTTTATTCTTAATCCTTAGGAAAAGTGGTAATCCTGATGTGTATTAATGAAAAATATTAATACTATAATCCAAGAGTAGACAAGTTATATTGTCAGTCCGTGCAGATGTGGTGAACAGACTATATATTACCAAACAATAACATGTTTACAAAAACCTGTGTACATAACACGAGAGCGATCGATTCTCAAAACTCTGTACACAACGGAATGACGATACTTGTGAAGTAGTTCTGCTTTCTAACATTTCTACTCTGAATAAAATTATTCTTCTTGATTTAAGTTTTAATATTTCACATTAATACACATCAGGATTGCCACTTTTCCTAAGAATTAAAAATAAAGTTAAAATTTGTGAAAGTGCAAGGATGTGTCAATCAAACCCGCCAAAAAATTTTAAGTTTTAATAACTTTTAAATGAAATAAGATTTTTAATTAATTTTTGTGCGAAATGCTATTAAAATATATAATTCGTAATATTATACAGAAAAAATGAGAAAATATTAACTTCAAATCTGTGTCCAAGTACCTTTAAAGAAGTATTACTTAAGGATATTCCATGAAACTTATTTAAAAAGCTTATTTCTAACGGTACCCTTAAATTACAAATATATATCAACAAATTACCAAATGAAAATTAATTTACATAATGGAAATTAGGCAGAGTATTTTAACGAATATAATATAATAATGCCTCGAAAAATGACTTATTTTGGGTCAAGTGCAAAATAAGACGAAAATAGTCCCATCCACATAATCTGCAGTAAATCGTTCTTGTTATTATTTTTACATCATAAATATTCATGTATAATTATATCAATTATATTCTAAAATAAATATATGTACAAAACGTTAAATGCAAATTACTTTTTAATGAATATTAACAAACACTTTTATTAAAATGATTTAGTATAATAAAAACCAAGGATACATGTAAAATAACAAAACAATTTTTTTCACTTCTGAACAACAATTTTACAGGTCAGCAGGCTGACAAGTCGACAGGTTGACAGGTCGACAGGCTGACAAGTCAAAAGGTTGACAGGTCGACAGGTCCACAGGTCGACAGGTAGACAGGTTGACAGGTCAACAGTTTTAATTAAGAACAAAAAATTGACAGGTTTGACAGGTCGACAGGTAGACAGGTAGAATTTTAAGTTTAATTTTTATTATCATTTCATATGGGCAATGTCTGACAGCAGTTTGATGTAAACATCTCCATTTGACAATCCAAACCTATGACGATAAGTAAATTCATCTAAAATACCTCAATTTTGTCATGAAAACAAATTATCTCAATTATGTATATTATGCTGACTCATTTTACTGTAAATGAGCTAAATAAACAAATTGTCAACACGTCTTATTGTCAACTCAAAATACATGTGAATAATGTTGTCAACCTGTCAACCAGATATAAAAGCACATTTATTAACAAATTTTTACTTTCAAACTTCACAGTACTATTGATGTCAACCTGTCGACCTGTCAACCTGTCTACCTGTCTACCTGTCGACCTGTCTACCTGTCTACCTGTCAACCTGTCTCCCTGTCTCCCTGTCTCCCTGTCAACCTGTCGACCTATCGACCTGTCTACCTGTCGACCTATACTAAGTGCACATTACATTCATTGATAATTTAAATAAAATCATAAGCAAGATACATATCTTGTTTCCTACATTTATAATCCATTTTATATAATAATTGGTTGACAAAATAGAATGCAATTGGTTTATATAACTAATTTACCAATGGCCCCAAATATTCCTTAATATTTACATTTGATTCATATGCAAAATTTGCTAATTTTGCACATTTATGTGAATATGCAAAAAACGTATATTCTTACGAGAAAAGAAATTGGAACTATTTTTGTCTTATATTGTACTTGAGCCCTTATTTTCTATGTTACTTATTTATACCTTAAAAGTATCATAGTGATGTTTATGATAAATATAAATGGACAGACAAGACATCATATAGTATCCTTTGCATTTGTAATCAAAAATGATATTATAGATTTCTTAAACATTTGTTAGGAACCTTTCACAACTCGAACAAAGAGTTTTGCTGCTATCAAATCACTTGATACGCCCAAAGCCCAAACTTGATGGTTGGATGACATTGCCTTTGTGTGCATAATTATTAAGCAAATATTGAGCAAATCATTACGAATGATAGGTTACAATCATTGACACAGGGCAAGGTCACCAAATAATAAATGTTGGACCTGATGTGCTACACAGTCCAAAAAAAAAACCCTACAAAATTGCATAAATTAGTAAAGGAAGGAAGATGCTTGTCTCTTCCACTGTCTTTCTGAATTATTCAATTTTAGCCAAAATTAAAACATGAAAAAATAAAATTTTTTAAAAATGAATTTTAAAAATTAAAAAGTAAAACAGAAGTCTTAGAAATGTTAAAGTAATTGATTATTTAGGATTTACCTTTCACATTGGTTATTTCAAGCAGAATTATATCTCATTGAAAAGCGCAATAAAAATTTACTTACCATTTTGTCTTTGATTCCAACTGAACAAATATGGAATGATGGAGGACACAGAAAGAAGTCAATTAGATTTTTTTTAAAAGGTCATTATGTGTAATCCATGTAATCCAACCTTAAACTGATTTTTTCTGCTTTTCGTTTTCTATGGAATTATTTTCTTTTCTAGAGCAAATTATCAATTTATCAATTTAAATCTTTGAAAATAAATTTTCTTTAATGACCACAAAACTCATAAGCTCCTGAAGATACATGACTATCTTCATAACAAGATTTTTGAATCTACAGATCCTTATTGTGTTTGAAAACTACTCACTGTAGACCGTTCCTAATCTGTTGCAAACAGGTAGATATTAACCTCAGGTAATAATCATCACATCTTGGACGGTACAAAATGGAAACAGACAAGATCAAACTTTCGTTGAATAGTTTCTATTTTAGATTAAATAACAAGAAAAACATGAATATTTGTAATTTAATAGACAGAGAAACAATTTATGGAGTTAATTTCTCGTGTCCAACATGTTCTACAATGTGTAAGTATGTTTCTAAACTTTTCCCTCCCCAATTCATATGGTCCCCGCTTGCTGGACATCAACTCTCACGGTATTCGTAAAAACATTACCATCATTTACTTTTTAGGTAAGTTTGTACATGTTTCCTGCGATGTTGTCATTTTGAAGTACATATATTTTAAATAAAACTTTATTAAAAAGATAAGAATGTGTAATACACATGTATCTTTTAGAAATCCAAAAGAAAATATATTTTTTTAGGGAAAAAAATCTTTGATTCTATAATTATCAAGTCAATTTTTTGATTGATTGATTGATTGATTGTATGTTGTTTAACGTCCCTCGCGAGAATTTTTCACCCATGAGGAGACGCTCCATTTTTTGAAAAGAAAACCGAACATGGTATTTCTATTCTGCACTTGTTAGAACACATTCGAAGAAGACACTAATAACTAGAAAGTCTGCTATTGCAAGCAATAGCGTATATCGCCCCGAACTGGACAAGACTTTCATTAATTTTTCATCACTAAAAACAATACTCATTAGCTAAGCTTGGACAACCATCAACTCGTATCAGTCATTGCAGTACTTTGATTTAAAAATCAAAGTTAAAGAATTTTCACTTTCTTCTGGTTACCAAGGCAACAATCGATTATTTGAAAATTTAAAATGCGAATCGCACAACTACAATTACTAATCATTAATATAAGAAAGTTTCATGATGAATGTTCAAAGGACAAGAGAGAACACTTCCGGACAAAATTCGTTATTTTTCACACATTTCCTTGGCAACGGTAGCCATATTGAAACTGAATGACCACACAACAAAACTACAATCAGTGATCGTCTTTTGAGGAAAGTTTCATGAAGATTGTCCAAACCACCTCCGAGAAACAGCCTGGAGTTCAAAAACATGCGTACAATCGCAATATATCGCCCCCGACTTCGTTCGGGGTGACATAATAATAAGGATTACAATACTTTTGATCATAAAAAAATATTTTCCTTTCGTCGCGATTTCACCTGAAACAGCAGATTAAAAGGTGTCATTTTTTTCATTATTTGATGAGACCCAAATATTATAGTAGTATTCAAATTAGATTTCTTAATAATTAAATCTGCGTCATCTTTCATGATTTCCTCCAGCTTCTATAGCCAGGGGACAATGACCGACTCGTCAAGACAATATTTCAATGTAATTATAAAGACAAAGTATGGATTCACTCAACAAACATGTCTGGACAGACCATTAATAGAAACCTCTTCTGCCATTTCATTTTCATTTAGAGCATGTTGCTTTTAAACTATTCAGAGATGATATGTCCTCTTCAGAAAAAGAAAAAAAGAAAACGAATTCTGTTGAAAATCCTCCATGTTTAGAATCATC